TCTGGCAATTCTCCTGCCTCAGCCTCCTGAGTAGCTGGGATTACAGGCACGCGCCATCATGCCCAACTAATTTTTTGTAGTTTTAGTAGAGACGGGGTTTCACCATGTTGACCAGGATGGTCTCGATCTCTTGACCTCGTGATCCACCCACCTCGGCCTCCCAAAGTGCTGGGATTACAGGCGTGAGCCACCGCGCCCGGCCCCCGTAGGCAAGTTTTTAAAAATCAAGTATTAAAGACAGACTTATAAGGAAACGTAGTTATTTTCTGCCCAGCTTCTCTGTACCCCTTGTCTTATTCTCCAGGGGATCATTTTTTTCTTTCTTTCTTTTTTTTTTTTTGAGGCGGAGTTTCGCTCTTGTTACCCAGGCTGGAGTGCAATGGCGCGATCTCGGCTCACCGCAACCTCCGCCTCCTGGGTTCAGACAAATCTCCTGCCTCAGCCTCCTGAGTAGCTGGGCCTACAGGCACGCACCACCATGCCCAGCTAATTTTTTGTATTTTTAGTAGAGACGGGGTTTCACCATGTTGACCAGGATGGTCTCTATCTCTTGACGTCGCGATCCACCCGCCTCGGCCTCCCAAAGTGCTGGGATTACAGGCATGAGCCACCGCGCCCGGCCCAGGGGATCATTTTTCACTTGCTTAACTGTTCGTGGTTTCTTCTGTACTTTTTAATCATATGTCTATATCACAGATTGTTGATCAAAATAAATGTATGTCAGTTAGAACTAACTATACTGAGTCTAAAAGCTGTACTGACAACACTGGTAGGGGGAATTAAGTAAGCATCAGTGGTAATAACCCACCCTAAGAGGTATTGCTGTGTTTGATTTGAAAGGAAACCACTACATAACCAGTGTTTTTGACACTTGTCTGAAAACAGGTGGGTATTAACAAAAGGGAATAGTCTACTGGAGTACAGAAAAAGAGAACATAGAGATATATGCAGAAATGAAGGGCCTAAAAAAGCATAGCAAAATCATTTTTTTCTTTTTTTGGAATAGGCAGGGTTTCACCATGTTGCCCAGGCTGGTCTCGAATTGCTGCGCTCATGGGCTCAAGCCATCCACCCACTTCGGCCTTCCAAAGCCACTCCCAAAGTGGCTCAGGCATGAGCCACTGTGCCCAGCTGCAAATAAACTTTTATAGAGGGATTGTTGATAATTTTTATATTCTGTTATGTAATATATAGCACTACTCAAAGAAAAAATATAATAAATTTGGTAGGCATGAACATTCTGGTTATTGGAGATGCCCATTCTCTTGTGCGTTAGAGATAGTGCTTAGGCGTTTTCTTGGCATGAGTGAAATATTTCTCAGAACTCTTGATTTTTGCAGTCATCGGGCAACATTTTTGACTTATCAGTTCAGATTTCTACAGTCTTCGATTTCAGGGAGGGTATGTTTTGATAGAATAAGTATTCTGGTCACTAGATAGCGTGTTTCTTTAATATAAGTAGATAAACTTGTAAACTGATTTATGCATCAATACCATGTAAATTTGTGATAATAACAGTGATAAAATTATGTTTCTGGCTCTGTAAAGCAGACACCCAGACCCTGAACCACTGACTGCTTCTCTGTACTCATCTGACTTTTCTTTTTTTGGTCAAGAGAAATAATACACATTAAAACCATACCAAAATCATATAGCATGTATGTGGCATTTCTTTGAAGATCTTAAAAATGAGACAATAGGAGAATAAATGTGTGAGTTCTGATGTTCAGTCAGTGCACCCTGAGGTTCTAGCCCCAGGATTCTGTTCTGGATTCCATTCAGCAAGCTGCCTGCTGCCCACTCTCACCTCTGAAGTTATATGAAGGAAACAAAATGAATGGGAAGAAGTAAATTTTAAATTACTCTCTAAAAGATGTTAAATTTTTATGTAACCAGAAAAGAGAGAATCTAGAACTTGCAATTTCCTAGGGAAAATTTGCTACCTAGACTCAAAGTTTAAATCCCGCTCACTTGCTTGCTTGCCTGTCTGCCTGCCTGCGTGCGCGCGCGCGCGCTCGCTCGCGCTCGCTCTCTCTCTCTCTCTCTCTCTCTCTCTCTCTCTCTCTCTCGAGCGCGCATGCGCGCTCACTCGCTCTTTTCCTTTCTTTCTGCTATCTCCTACAGGAAGGATCAGCTTAAGTGTAGTGTCATCAATAATTGACTGTAAAAATAAGCTGATAGAATTAAATTTTCAGTTTGTACCTTTCATTGTTAAAGTAACCAGAAATCTCTGTGGCTAATATGTGTTTATGTTTCATTTAATGAAGATTAGAAGAGGAGCTATGTCGGAAGAAACCATAAATGAATCACAGTTTTCCTTGAAGACAGCAGCACTAAGAGTGTTTGACCTTCCTCTGTCTTGGTACTATTCTCTCTCCCAGGTAAATAAAAGAAGCAAACATGAAGTTTTTTGAGGTTTCTATATGGTACAGTCAAAATATTTATTATAGTAATTTAAAAACCTACTTGGTTATTTTATGGGGTTTTGCTTTTTGGTTATCATAACTCTTAAAAAGGGGTCACATTACTTGAAATTTTTTTTCTATCTTAAGTGAACTTAAGTAGTCCATTACTACTTTCAGTGAATTGTGTCATTCCAGTAGGCCTGTTCTCACTATTAACAATCCTTTTAATTTTATTGTGGTAAGGTACAAATAACATAAAATTGACCATTTTGATCATTTTTAAGTGTCTAGTTCATTAGCCTGAAGTACAGTAACGTTGTACAGACAATATCCAGAAGTCTTTTCATCTTGCAAAACTCAAACTCTACAGCTGTTTATCAACATCTTACTATACCTCCCTCCCATCAGTCCCCACCACCACTCAATTTTCTGTCTCTATGAATTTGACTAGGTACCTCACAAGTAGCATCCTACATTCTTTTTGTGACAAGCTTATTTTACTTAGCATAATGTCCTCAAGGCTCATCCATGTCGTAGCATATGTCAGCATTTCCTTTCTTTTTATTACTTTTCATTTTGAGAATTTTTTTGAGACAGAGTCTTGCTTTGTCACCCAGGCTGGAGTGCAGTGGCACGATCTTGGCTCTCTGCAACCTCCATCTCCCAGGTTCAAGCGATTCTTTTGCCTCAGCCTCCCGAGTAGCTTGGACTACAGGTGTGCGCCACCATGCCTGGCTAATTTTTGTATCTTTAGTAGAGATGGGGTTTCACCATGTTGGCCAGGCTGGTCTGGAACTCCTGACCTCAAGCTATCCCCCCATCTTGGCCTCTAAAAGTACTGGGCATATTGATACTTCTAACTTTGATCCAACAGCAGAGATTTCATTTTAGCATTCCTACTTGGATCGTTTGTGACGTGTTTATTCAGCAGTGAGACCTGGCTCTTGTAAACTATAGTGTATTACTCATAATATATTTACTTATGCGATCTAGTGTATACATAAAGAAATTTCAGAATTGGCATCCCAAAGTATTAAAATTTTAAAATTTAACTTAATTTTTTTTTAAGAGATGGAGTCTCACTTTGTCACCCAGTCTGGAGTGCAGTGGTACGATAGTAGCTCACTTGAACCCCTGGGCTCAAGTTATCCTCCTGCCTTAGCCTCCCAAATAGCTGAGACTACAGGCGGGTGCCACTATACTTGGCCCCAGTACTCCTTTGAGAAACAAATTAACCAACAGATTACAGTGTTTAGTCTCTGTAGCCTTACAATATCCAGGCAAAACCCTGTCACTTAGGTCAGCGCCTTTCTTCCTCACACTCTTCAGTGCACTTCATTTGGAACAAAGTTTGATTTACTTTTCACAGCCTGTGATTTATCTTGGGATCCATCTGTGACCTTATATCCTGGTTGATTTTTTTTCAATTGACATGGAACACAATTTGTTCTTTGTTGTGCCCAGTTCTGTGTGTTTGGACAGCTGTGCAGTCATGTGTCCTTCATCACTGTACCAAACAGAACAGTTCTTCATCCCCAGAGTTCCCCTGTGCTGCCCCTTTGTGGTCACCTCCTCATCCTCTAACCCCTAGCTGCCATTGATGTTTTCTGTCCCTATAGTTTTTTTACCCACAAATGTCATATAAATGGAATTATACAATATATAATGTTTTGAAACTGACTTCCTCCTGTTAGCATAATGCATTTGGAATTCATCCACATTGTTGTCTGAATAGTTTGTCCTTTTTTGTTGATGAGTAATGTTCCATTGTATGAGTGTACCACAGTATATCTGTTCACCTGTTGAAGGGTATCCAGGTTGTTTCTGACTTTAGGTGATCATGAGGTCATGCATATTTTTTCCTATATTTTCTTCTAGAAATTTCTTCTTTGAATTTTCTTTCACCTTTGACAAAAATAGGTTGACTATATGTTTGTGTGTGTTTCTTGCAGGCTGTCTATTCTGTTGTATTGATCTATATATCCACACCGTCTTGCCTGTTGTTTTATAGTTAAGTCTTGAATTCGGCTAGTATGAGTTCCACAACTTTGTTTTTTTTTAAATTGTTTTGGTTCTTCTAGTTTCTTTGCTTTTTCTTAATTAAAAAAAAATAAGTTTATCAGTATTTACAAAAAATTTTCCTGGGTTTTTGATTAGGCTTATGTTGTTTATATAGATCAAGTTAGAGAGAAAAAAATCCTATAATCCATGAATATGATGTCTCTTTCCTTTTATCTTTGATATCTTTTGTGTTTCCTTGTTCTGTAGCACAGATTTTTGTTAGATTTAGCTCTAATATTTTCCTTTTTCTTGGTGCTACTATAAACAGTATTACTTTTTAAAATTTAAATTCCAGTTGCTTATTGCTGTTCTATAAAAATACAGTTGATATTGTATATTGAATTTGTATTCTGTTATCTTGTGAAACTTACCTACTAGTTATAGGAGCTTTTTTGTGGAGTGTTTGGAACTTTCTGTATAGACAGCTGTATCATATGTGAATAGAGTTTTACTTTTTCCTTTCTAATATTCATTCCTTTTATTCCTGTTTCTTAACTTTTTTGTACTGGCTAGTACTTCTAGCATGACATTGGTGAAAAGACATCTTTACCTTGTTCATGATCTTATGGGGAAAGCAGTTAGTCTTTCACCATGAATTATTATCTTAGCTACAAGTTTTTAAAATAAATACCCTTTATCAGATTGAGGAATTTACCTTTTGTGTTAGTTCCCTAGAGTTACCATGACAAATTACCACAAACTTGGTGACTTAAAACAATAGAAATTTAATTTTTTAGTTATGGAGGCTGAAATCACAGTGTAGTAGAGCCACACTTGCTCTGAAGTTTCTAGGGGAGAATCCGTCCTTGCCTTTTCCAGCTTCTGGTGACTCCAGACATACCTGAGACTGGGTAATTTACAAAGAAAAAGAGATTTAATGGACTCACAGTTCCACGTGGCTGGGGAGGCCTCACAATCATGGCAGAAGACAAAATGCATGTCTTTCATGGCTCAGACACGAGAGAAGTGAGAGCCAAGCGAAACGGGTTTCCACTTATAAAAGCTTCAGATCTTGTGAGACTTACTCACCACCACGAGAACAGTATGGGGGAAACCGCCCCCATGATTCAGTTATCTCTCACCGGGTTTCTCCCACAACACATGGGAATTATGGGAACTACAATTCAAGATGTGGTTTGTGTAGGGACACAGCCAAACCATATCACAGCATAACTTCAGTCTCTTTACATGGCCTTCCCCTTTGTGTGTTTATGGTTTACAAAGATACTCTTACTGGATTGAGGGCACATCCTAATCCAGTATGGTCTCATCTGAATTCTTAATTATATCAGCAAAGACCCCATTTTCAAATTTGATGACATTCTGATGTTCCAGGCGGACATGAATCATTCTGGGACACTGTTCAACCTACCACATCTTCTATTCCTAATTTGCTGGGAGTTTTTAAGTAATCATAAATGGATGTTGAGTATTTTAAAGTGCTCTTTTCTCATCTGTTGAGATAATATCGCTTTTTTTTTTCTCTTTTTTTTTTTTGTAGGACACTTCACCTGGAAATATTGCTTTTCTTTAGTTGATATTATGGTAAATTACATTGATTTTTTAAGTGCTGAACCAGGTTTGCATTCCTAGAATGTATGCCACTTGGTTGGTATATTTTTAATATATTGACGAATTTTATTTGTTAATATTTTGTTGTGGGTTTTTTGCATCTATCAATGAGGGGTATTAACCTATAGTTTTATTTTTTTGTGATATCTTTGTCTGGCTTTGCTATTAATAACAGATTGTCCCCATCTTAACAATTTTTTGACTTTACGATTATGCATGACCATTGCAAATTTGACATAATGTATGGTATTCAATAAATTACATGAGATATTTAAGACTTTATCATAAAAGAAGCTTTGTGTTACATGATTTTACCCAACTGTAGACTAATGTATTAATAAGTGTTCTGAGCATGTTTAAGGTAGGCTACTTTAAGCCATGATGTTTGATAGATTGGGTGTATTGAATTCATTTTTGGCCTATGTTTTCAACTTAGGATGGGGTTATTGGGCTATAACCTTGTCATAAGTCTAACAGCATCTGGACTAGCTTGATAACATGATTGGAAAGTATCCTCATTATATGAAAGTGATACTGTTTCTTCTTTAACTACTTGGTATCATTTGACCTTCAGTTTTTTTTATTGAAAGCATTTAACTACCTATTCAATTTCTTTAATAGATTTTTAACTGCCCATGTTATCTGTTTTTTTTTTTTTCCCTGAGTGAGTTTTGGTTTTGTCCTTCAAAGAATTTGAATTTATGGATGTAGAATTGTTTATAATATCCTTTTTACAGATCTTTGTGAGGTCTGCAGTGATGACTCCTCTTTTTTTTCTGATTTCGGTAATTTGTGTCATTCTTGCTTTTTTTTCTTAATGAGACTGGCTAGAGGTTTTATCAGTTTTTCTTCCAAAAAAACCAGCTGTTGGTCTTACTGATTTCTGCTTTAATCTTTATAATGCTTCCTATCTTGTGCCTGCTTTAGTTTGAATTTGCACTTCTTTTTCTAGATTCTTAAGTTGAAAGCTTAGATTACTGACTTGATATATTTCCTTTTTTAATATAAGCATTTAATGGCTTAGATTTCTCTCTAAAGATGCATCCACAGTTTAAGGCTTTTGTTCTTTTATGGGGATAGAGGAGAAAGGTTCTGGTGCCGGTTCATGCCCTCCACAGAAGCTGCTGTTTCCTTCCCTCTCTACCGTTAGGGAGACTTTCCTAGGACTCTTTCCGTATTTTCTGTGAGTGCCTAGTGATTCATGAAGATAAAATCTGCAAAAATGGTGTCGATTTCACCTACATTTGCAGCACCTCTTCCCCATCTCTCAACAGTGTATTCTTTCTCCACCAGTTTTGAAACCATGCTCACTGACCTTTTCTTACCAATGTCCTGCTATGTCTTGTCCGTGTAGGCCAAAGCTAATGTCTTAACTGTCTGCAAATACCTGTCTCATTAGTTTAGGGGGCAGTTGGTTGCCCTGTAATCTCCTTATTCTGGTGGAGTCAGAATACTTTATTTTGTTGTTGGAAGGTTGGAAGTGACATTCTTTCCAGCTCTCTCTGGCTTTATTTTAGAGTTCTTCTGCTTTTAGGTATTTAATAGTGTTTGTCTCTCAAGAGAAAGTTATATTATTGTTCTCATGTTAGTACTTAGTACTTGTATAACTGTATTTATCACATTATGCCGTAATTATTTTCCAACATAACTGTTTCCACTATGAGCACACTGCTTGAGGGAAATAGACAAGTATATGCAAAATGCAAGATCTGTGACCTCTGTATACCTAGTGCTTCCTGATTGGTTGTAGGCACTTATTATGTGCTCATAGAATAGAATTTCAGTAAGATTTTAATTCATAACACAGTCTGGTACTTTAAGATTCTGAAGAAATATTTGTTGAATAATTCTTGAATAAAATGCCTTATTTAGAAAGTATTTAGAAATGGATTTAGCTTCTATTTCCACAGATTTTCAGATAGTTTTTTTAAAGCTCAGTTTAAGTCTAATCATCCCTGTAATTAAAAATCTTGCTGTGATTCAGACAGAAGATTCAGTTGTGTGAATTAATCCTTAATTGCTCAAAAAATGTTAATGGGGTTGAATTATTTTGTACTATTAACTTCTGGGATAATATTGTTTACCTGAGATCTCCAAAGCAGTGAGTAATAAATTACTACATTTAAAATATTTTTAAAAAATAAAATAGGGTAGGGGCCGGGCGCGGTGGCTCAAGCCTGTAATCCCCAGCACTTTGGGAGGCCGAGGCGGGTGGATCACGAGGTCAAGAGATCGAGACCATCCTGGTCAACATGGTGAAACCCCATCTCTACTAAAAATACAAAAAATTAGCTGGGCATGGTGGTGCATGCCTGTAATCCCAGCTACTCAGGAGGCTGAGGCAGGAGAATTGCCTGAACCCAGGAAGCAGAGGTTGCGGTGAGCTGAGATTGTGCCATCGCACTCCAGTGTGGGTAACAAGAGCGAAACTCTGTCTCAAAAAAAAAATAAAAAAATAAAAAAATATAATAGGGTAGCTTGTCATTGCAAGAGTAAAATTATATTTTCTTGACAGCATTTAGAAATAGATTAAGAGTAACTTTAGTTATTAGATCCTTCTTTTCAGTGAAAAATTAAAGATTTTTTTTTCAGTTTTAACTGCATCTTTTCCAGATCAGATTTTCTCCAGTGGCTAAAAAGTTGTTTGTGGTAACTGCAGTGAGTGCTATATCTGTAATTTTTCTGGCCCATCACTTTAAAAGAAAACGTGGAAAGAAGAAAGGAAAAATATTACCATGGGAACCAGAGCATCTCATACTTGAACACACTAAAAGAGCAGCATCAGACAAAGGTATGTGGAAATAGTTGAATTAAGAAATTTTATGTGTAAATCATAACTGGAATACAGTGATTTTGGTCTTTTAGTCTCCAAAATTTTATTCCTGATATATTATTTAACTCAAAAGTAATACAGATTTATTTTAGAAAGATTAGAAAATGTAGGTAAGCAAACAGAAAAAATTAAAATCACTTGACATTCTGCTACCCAAAAATAACTACTGATAATACTTTCATTTATATCAGTGTCCACTTAAATATTATAGTGAGACATAAAATTGTATATTATATGCAAGTCAATTATGTATTGTAAGTAAAATTGTAATCAGACATTTTATAACCTGCTTTTAAGATGTTTGACAGTAAGAATATCTAAGTCAATAAATATCCCTCTATGCAATCATTTTTAATATATAACTAGTGTTAATTTGTACAAATGTACCCCAGTTTATTTAATCATTTCCCCATTGTTCACTTTAGAATCTGTGGTTTCTTTTTTTTTTTTTTTCTGAGACGGAGTTTCGCTCTTGTTACCCAGGCTGGAGTGCAATGGCGCAATCTCGGCTCACCGCAGCCTCCGCCTCCTGGGTTCAGGCAATTCTCCTGCCTCAGCCTCCTGAGTAGCTGGGATTACAGGCACGCACCACCATGCCCAGCTAATTTTTTGTATTTTTAGTAGAGACGGGGTTTCACCATGTTGACCAGGATGGTCTCGATCTCTTGACCTCGTGATCCACCCGCCTCGGCCTCCCAAAGTGCTGGGATTACAGGCTTGAGCCACCGCTCCCGGCCTGTGGTTTCTTTTTTTATTTTGCGTATCCCTATTTCCTTATTATGTAGAATTCAAGAAGTAAATTGCTGTCTTTTAAAGGATCTTTAATTTTTGTTAACGATATGGTATCAGTAAAAATAATTTCTTGAGCATACTGAGTTTCTTACTTTTTTATTATTTAGTGAGTATGTGGTATGCTTTTGTGATTCATCTGTCCAGTATACAATTAATGAGTGAGTATTTTGTACCAAGTGCAGTGAACATTCCGACAGTAATGATTGCTGTCACTTGCTGAGATTCTATTATGTCTCAGCTAAGTGCCATATATTCAGTACTTTATTTAACCTTACAGCAATCCTGTGAATTTGGATGATAGCCTTGTTATTTCTATTTTCTACATAAAGAAAACTGAGATATGCAAAAGTTAAGTGACTTGCCCACGGTCATATAATTTGTACATGCTGGAATTTCAATATAGGAACTGCTGCATTAAGAAAAACTATAAGGCTGGGCGTGGTGGCTCATTCCTGTAATCCCAGCACTTTGGGAGGCCAAAGCAGGAGGCTGGCTTAAGCCCAGGGGTTTAAACAGCCTGGGCAACATAGTGGGACCACATCTCTACAAAAATAAAAATAAAAAATTAGCTAGGTGTGGTGGCAACATGTCTGTTGTGGTCCCAGCTCCTTCGGTGACTGAAGTGGGAGGATTGCTTGACCCAGGAGGTCAATGCTGCAGTGAGCCATGATTGCACCACTGCACTGCAGCCAGGGTGACAGAGTGAGATATTTTCGCAAAAAAAGAAAAAGAAAACCCAAAAAAACTAAGATATAATGTCTGCCTTAGAAGAATGGATAGTTGGGTAGAAGAGACAGAAGTATAACTAATTATAATGCAATGAGATATGGGTAAGCTTTAGATGTAATTCAGAAAAGGAAATGCCTGTATTTTGTTAAATTTATAGTTTACCAAAATCGTAAATGTAACATAGTTGCCAGTATTTTTATACTGATTGCAATAGATCATTCAAATACCACTCTAATTAATTAGGTGACTATTTGACTCTTCATTTCAGAAGCAGATTTTAGCAGTGTTAAAAAAAGATTATATAAAGGTGTAGATTTTACTAATGGTGTACATTTAATAATTTACACAATTGAATGATCTGTGTTTTAAAATTAGAAGCTTTCTGAATGAATATATAAACTCTGAAATTTTTACCTGAAACTTATCATTGGATTTGATACTTTTAATATTAGTATGTTTACTTGATAGGTTCAAGTTGTTCCAGTAGCAGACAGAATTTGACATTATCTTTAAGTTCTACCAAAGACAAAGGATCTCAATCTTGTAACTATGCTAATGGAGGACTTTTCAGTAAATACTCAGGTTCTGCACAGAGTTTGGCCTCCGTAAGTACAGAAAAAATACTACTTTTTAAAATTGTTGTTTACTTATCTTTAGTGATCTGTTAGTTTAAGTGTCATATACTTATAGTTCTTAGTATGGAAAGAGTCTTAAGAAATCATCTGATTGAATCTGCTTTCATCAGGCAAGTAAAGTATCTACTGACTATTAAGTCAATTTGGTTCTAGATTTCTTTGAATAAGTGATCTGGTCCCATGGGGACCTGTGAAAATAGTGTTGATGTGGAAGAATTACTTCAAAATTAGATGTTCTTGTCTTCACTTATTTGTGGGAGCTAAAAATTAAAACAATTGAACTCATGGAGCTAGAAAGTACAAGAATAGTTACCAGAGGCTGGGAAGGGCAAGTGGCGGTGGAGGGGAAGTGGAATGGTTAATGGGTACAAAAATATATGCAGATAGAATAAATAAGATCTAGTATTTGATAGCACAATAGGGTGACTACATTTGACATAATTTATTATAGATTAAAAAATAAAAAGTGTAACTGGATTGTTTATAACACAAAGAAGGGATACACGCTTAAAGATAAAGGTGATGGATACCCCATTTATCCTGATGTGGTCTTTATACATTGTATATATCAAAATGTTTTATATAACCCATATATACACCTATTATATATCCACAAAAATCAAAAATTGAAATTAAAAAGTTATTAATTAAAAAAAATTAGCTGTTCTGCAAGAAGCTGGATGATATAGCCAGACTTTGTGCTGGGTCACAATAATCACTTGATGACCCTACTTAGGTGAAAGTATTTGGTTTGGTGAAGACAAGTGTGAGGTTCTTCACCTCCTTTGGATCATTAATACAGTATTGACTGACAAGCAGGAGACTGCCCTTCTTTTTTTTGAGCATTAATTATTATTATTTTTTTTTAAAGACGGGTTTCACCATGTTGGTCAGGCTGGTCTCGAACTCCTGTCCTCAGGTGATCCACCCACCTCGGCCTCCCAGAGTGCTTGGATTACAGGTGTGAGCCACCATGCCTGGCTTTTTTGAGCATTAAAATTAATGCTGATTGACAAGTGAGGAATGAAGTTACTATTTGTTTAAATCTAATGTGATTTAAACATTAATTTAAAAAATAGGTAGAATATCTACCTGCTATTAAATGCAGAACAGGCAAAAGAATATACAATGAGAGCTGGGTGCTATAGTGTTGCCTATAGTCTCAGCTATTCAGAAGACTGAGGCAAGATCGCTTCAGTCCAGGAGTTTGAAGACAGCCTGGGCAACACAGTGAAACCTTCTCTCGTAAAATAAAATAAAATAAAAAATAAAATAAATGTGTTCCTGATCCACTCAATTCCCCTCCCTGGAGACTAAACAACATTAACAATTTCTTTTTTTTTTTTTGAGAGGGAGTCTTTTTCTCTTGCCCAGACTGGAGCTCAGTGGCACAATCTCTGCTCACTGCAACCACCACCTCCCAGGTTCAAGCGATTCTCCTGCCTCAGGTTCCCAAGTAGCTGGGATTACAGGCATGTGCCACCGCACCTGGCTAATTGTTATATTTTTAGTAGAGAGGTTTCACCACGTTGGCCAGGGTGGTCTTGAACTCCTGACCTCATGATCCACCCACCTTGGCTTCCCAAAGTGCTGGTATTAACAGACGTGAGCCACTGCACCTGGGCTGTTTTCATTTTTTTCTTCGTGGTTTATAGAACACCATATTCTGTTCTGTACCTTGCTTCTATATTTCATTGTAATATATAGCTGCCCTATTCTGTAATGCCTAAAAATGTAATACATTTTTAAAGACTCTTCGAGGATAGAAACAGCTAGATCAAAGGCCTGCAGACTTTCAATTCCTCTGTGAAACTGAGCAGCATAATGAAGAATATGCTTATTCTTTTTTTTTTTTTTTTTTTTTGTCTTTTTGGCAGTGTATTGCTGGAATATACCTATTCTTTTTTCTTTCTTTTCTTTTCTCTTTTTTTTTTCTTTTTTGAGATGGAGTCTCACTCTGTTGCCCAGGCTGGACTGCAGTAGTGTGATCTTGGCCCACTGCAACCTCCACCCCCTTGGTTCAAGTGATTCTCCTGCCTCAGCCTCCCAAGTAGCTGAGATTACAGGCATGTGCCACCACACCTGGCTAATTTTTGTATTGTTAGTAGAGACAATGTTTCACCATGTTGGCCAAGCTGGTCTCAAACTCCTGACCTCAAGGGATCTGCCGCTTCGGCCTTCCAAAGTGATGGGATTACAGGCGTCAGCCACTGTGCCTGGCCAGAATGTGGCTTTTCTGTAATGTGGACTTCCTCAATGTCTGAGAAGTGCCTACTTTGAATTTCCTCAATTGAAAGTTGAAGCCCTTGTTGACTAGAACTAGATAAGTTAAATTTCATGATAATGGTGTAACAAGTCTTTAGAATCACTGTACTGTACTTGCCTAACTGAACTAGCCGTTCCTCTGCCAGGGCTGTTAACTGCTTTGATTTTCTGTCTCTTAGGCAGTAGATAGTAAGTGTTGAAATTGGGATCATGATGTCAGAAGTGGAAAGGAGGGGACAGAGTCCACAAAATTTGGTGACTGAATATGAGAAGTGTGGGAAGAGACTTTGAAGATGACATCCTGTTTTATAGTTTGAGAAATTATGGGAATGGAAACACTGTTAGCGAGCTTGGGAGGAAGAAGAGGTTTTGTTGCGAGAGATGCTAAGCCCCTTTTTTGACATACAATCATGAGTTGCTTAATGATGGTGCTACATTTGCTACATTCTGAGAAATGTGTCGTTAGATGATTTCATTGTATGAATACCATACTGTGTACAGAAAAGAAAGTGCCTGTATTTTATTAAATTTACAATTTAACAAAAATATAAATTTAACGTAGTTGCCAGTATTGTCATACTGATTACAATAGGCTATTCAAATATGACCCTAATTAGTTAGGTGAATAATTTACTCTTTATTTCAGAAGCATCATAATCTGTATGCTATATGTTGTAACCTGTTGTTCCTAGGCTACAAACCTGTACCACATGCGACTGTACTGAATACTGTAGGCAATTGGAACACAATGGTATTTGTGTATTTAAACATATCTGAACATAGAAAAAGTACAGTAAAAATACAATTTTATAATCTTATGGTAGGATCCACTGTTGTATATGCGGTCCGTTGTTGACCCAGATGTTGTTATGTTGAAAGTGTCTATAGTTAGTTTGCGATGCCAGCCAAAGAGCCAAATGGAGTTGCCGAAAAGGCAAATGAAAATGTTGGTTTAGATTTCTCAAAAGTGAACTGGAATTAGGATAGAACTGGAGTTAGGAGTTTGAGTGTCATCTGCATAGACATGATTGAAATGATTTGTTTAGTGGACCTTGCTAGGAAAGGACATTTACAAAGATGATGGTGGCTTTTTTTTGAGATGGAGTTTCGCTCTTACTGTCCAGGCTGGAGTGCAATGGCCCGATCTTGGCTCCCTGCAACCTCCACCTCCCAAGTTCAAGTGATTCTCCTGCCTCAGCCTCTCAAGTAGCTGGGATTACAGGCATATGCCAGCATGCCCAGCTAATTTTGTATTTTTAGTAGAGACAGGATTTCTCCATGTTGGTCAGGCTGGTCTCAAACTCCCGACCTGAGGTGATCCAACCACCTCAGCCTCCCAGAGTGCTGGGATTATAGGCATGAGCCACCAAGCCTGGCGATAGTGGCTTTTTTATTTTAGGTATCATTTAGCAGAGAGTCAGCATTGTAAAACATTCTAAAATAAAAATAAGCTAGCTACCTGAAATCAAAGTAGGTATAGATAAAATTTATAAGTAAATGCTTAAAACAATAAATGATATAAACATAACTGCCTGATTTCTGATGGAAATAAGTGATTTACATTCAAAATATTCTACTTGTATATTTTTGAGCAAAGAGGCTTAGAATAGAGTCATGTGACTTCTAAATTTGATTGAATATCATCAGCAGTATTTCTTCATGTGGAAATTACATGGATTGTCTTACACTAATATGATTTATATAAATAATCTGTAAATATAAAAGATCATAGCATACTATAATGAGAGAGATTTGAAGTAACTTCTGTCCATCTTAATTTTAGGTCCAGAGTGTCAATTCTTGTCATAGCTGCGCTTGTGGCAATTCTAATTCCTGGGACAAAGCAGATGAAGATGATATCAAACTTGTTAATATCCCTGTGACTACTCCAGAGAACTTATACTTAATGGGTAGGAATAAGATGATAATATTTTAAGATATTGTGCTCACATTTAATTTGTTTTGTTTTTGTTTTTTATTTATTGAGACAGACAGGGTCTTGCTCTGTCGCGCAGGCTGGAATATCACTGCGATCGCTGCTCATTGCACCCTCAACCTCCTGGGCCCAAGTGATCCTCCCACCTTAGCCTCCTGAATGGCTGGGACCACAGGTGCAAGCCACCATGCCCAGCTAATTTTTTTTTTTTCTTTATCTTTTTTCAAGATGGGGTTTCACCATGTTGGTCAGGCTGGTCTTGAACTCCTGACCTCAGGTGATCCACCCGCCTTGGCCTCCAAAGTGCTTGGATTACAGGCATAAGCCACCATGCCCGGCCAATTTAAAAAAAAATTTTTGTAGAGATGGGGTTTTGTCGTGTTGCCAGTTTGGTCTTGAACTCCTGAGCTCAAGCAGTCTGCCCACCTCTGCCTCCTAAAGTATTGGGATTAAGGCCTTAGCCACCATGGGCAGTGGTAAATTGAAATTTAAAAACAGTGAATTGTTCTAAGAGAAGGAACTATATAATTTTAAATATTCTTCCATCCGTTGAATTTAATCTTCATAACATCATACATTGTATTAGTTTAAACTAATACAACAAAATTAAAACAACAGAAATTTATTCACTCAGAGTTTTGGAGACTAGAAGTTCATTATCACCGGATTGAAATGAAGATGTCAGTAGAGCCATGTTCTCTCTCAGGCTTAGGGGAGAATCTGTTCCTGACCTCTTGAAGCTTTTGGTGGGCTTCCAGCATTGTTTGGCTTGTGTCCACATCATTCCAGTCTCTACCTTTGTCTTCATGTCACATTCTCCTCTGTGTGTATCAAATCTCTCCCTATATCCCCACCCCCCCTCTTTTTTTGAGACAGAGTCTTACTCTGTCACCCAGGCTGGAGTGCAGTGGTGCAACATCGGCTCACTGCAGCCTCCACCTCTGAGTTCAAGCAATTCTCAAGCCTCAGCCTCCCAAGTGGTTGGGCTTACAGGTGTGTATCACCACGCCCAGCTAATTTTTTGTATTTTTAGTAGAGACATGGTTTCACCTTGTTAGCCAGTCTGGTCTTAACCTCCTAAGCTCAGGTGATTTGCCCACCTCAGCCTCATAAAGTGCTTGGATTACGGGTGTAAGCCACTGCTCCCAGCCACCTCTGTCTTACAAGGACACTTTTGGTTAGATTTAGGGCCCAGCAGATAAATTAGGATAATGTCCCTGTATTGGGATTCTTAATTACATCTACAAAGATGTAAGATGTTACCTTTATTTATAAGTTTACAGCTTCTAGGAATTAGGATCTAATGTCTTTGGGTGACCATTATTCAGCCTGCTACACTATCTTAAACTAATCTGTTGACTCTTATGTAACAAATCTATCAGAATTCACTTAACTAAATCTGTTTTATCTAGCTATCATGTGTATTGTTATGTCTAGAAAAAAAAAAATTTAAATAGAAGGAAGGTGTTCTGTGTTTCACATCTCAGTATTTCTCTTGACTTGACCATGAACATGTCTACAGAGCCACACTGAAGCCCTGGAGAAGAACCAAACGCACCTGTTGTTGAATCAGAGGATTCAAATGGTTTCCCCTGTTCTCTATTCTGTTTCAGGCTGTCTTCCTTTTCATGGAAATGCATACTAAATAAAAAACAAAACCAGTAAACCTGATGTAGCCCTGGGCAGTGAGCAGTAAAGGGACTGATGACTTTGTAAAGAAGGACTGAGTGTCTTGGAATGCATTCCCACTCTCTAGATAGTTAGACTATATCGTCTCCGGTACCATAACAGCAGGTACTCCTATGAGGAAAGAAGCAAGAGTAGTTCCTTTGCCACCTATTCCAAAGGTCTCCAGAAAGTCAAATTCACTATGTTTCTAGATTATGTCTAGTAAACTTATACTCACAGCTTCTGTTAATATTGCAAGTTCATGGCTGGGTATGGTGGCATGTACCTGTAGTCTTAGCTACTTGGGAGGCTAAGGCAGGAGGATCACTTGAGCCCAGGAGTTAAGGGTCGTAGTGAGCTAATTGTGCTACTGCACTCCAGCCTGGGTGACAGAGCAAGCTTTTTCTTTTTTTTTTCTTTTTTTTTTTTTGTTGTTTAGTTTTTCTTTCATAATCATAAACTTAACTCTGCAATCTAGCTAGGCATGGAAGGGAACAAGGAAAATGGAACGCAAAGGGAACTGCATCGATAGCACAAAGATTCTAGGATACTATGAGTAAATGGGGTGGAGGGATGCTCTGCTGAGCTACAGAAGGAATGGTCTGGTGGTTAAGATAAAACACAAGTCAAACTTATTAATGAGATGCCCACAGTCTGCAATGGTGATCTTCTTACTGGTCTTGCTATTCCTGGACCCAACACACTCCATGGCCTCCTCAATATTCATGCCTTCTTTCACCTTGCCAAAGACCACAAGCTTGCCATCCAGCCACTCAGTCTTGGCAGTGCAGATGAAAAACTGGAACCATTTGTGTTGGGTCCAGCATTTGCCATGGACAAGATGCCAGGACCTGTATGCTTTAGAATGAGTTCTCGTCATCAAATTTCTTCCCGTAGGTGGACTTGCCACCAGTGCCATTATGGCATGTGAAGTCACCACCCTGACACATAAACCCTGGAATAATTCTGTGAAAGCAGGAACCCTTAAAACCAAATCCTTTCTCTCCAGTGCTCAGAGCAAGAAAGTTTTCTGCTGTCTTTGGAACTTTGTCTGCAAACACCTTGAAGGAGATGCAGCCCAAGGGCACACCATTGATGGCAATGTCGAAGAACACGATGGGGTTGAGCATGGCTGATAGTACAGGGTCCCAGCAGCAGCGGCATCTGCAAAGCCGCCCTTTTTCTTAAAAAAACAAAACAAAAACAAAGCAAAACAAAAAACAAACAAACAAAAACCTAGAACATTAAAAATTCAAATTCAAGAGAAATAGAGCAAAACTAGAGACACCACAGGGGATCTTTGTGTTATAGGATTAAGATTGGTAGGAGCCCTGTGGATCACCTGGTATCATCACCCATCTGTTTCAATTCTCTTTATAAAATTGATGACATTAAAAAAAGATTGGTGACGTATGTTTGACTTGCTGTTACAAAACTGATGATATTTGGTAGCCTGGGCTGTATTCTATAGTGAGGTGGGACATAGTACTTCTTGAGGAGACAGCTTTTATCTTTGTATTATACAACTGTGCTGTAAAATAGTTCTTCCTGAAGCCAAGTGTGGTGGCACATGCTTGTAGTTCCAGCTACTTGAGAGGCTGAAGTGGGAGAATCACTTGAGCCCAGGAGCACAAGACCAACCTGGGCAACGTTATAATACCCCTATCTCTAAAGAAAGAAACCAAAAAAACTAAAAAAAAAAAAAAAATTCTTCCTGTGTTCATATGTTCAGCCAAAATAATAAATGTGTAGAAGGGATAGTGTAAGAAAAGGATGAAGGAATTAGAGTTGTGTAACTTGGAGAAAGGAGAGTAGATAGTGATATAATTGGTTTTTGTGTTCATAAATGTTTTAGGAGAAGATTCAAAAACTATTCTTTGCTACAGAAAATCGAACAAGAAGGAAAGGCCTACATATCATTTTCAGAAATTTTAGGCCAGATATGGTGGCTCACCGGTAATCCCAGAATTTAGGGAGGCTCTGGTGGGAGGATTGCTTGAGCCCAGGAGTTTGAGACTAGCCTGGGTAACATAGTGAAACCTCATCTCTACAAATACATAAATATATTTAAAAAAAATAAAATAAAAGAGGCTGGGCCTGGTGGCTCATGCCTGTAATCCCAGCACTTTGGGAGGCAAAGGTGAGTGGATCACCTGAGGTCAGGAGTTCGAGACCAGCGTGGCCAAACATGGTGAAAACCTGTCTCTACTAAAAATACAAAAATTAGGTGGGCATGGTGGTACATGCCTGTAGTCACAGCTACTCAGGAGGCTGAGGCAGGAGGTTGCAGTGAGCCGAGATGGTGCCACTGTACTCCAGCCTGGGCAACAGAGTGAGATTCTCTCTCAAAATAATAAGAAATAAGAAAAATTTTATTCTTTTAGGATTGTAGGTTCTACAGTGTGGTAACTGAAGAAATGAGAGGTATTTTTTAGCTACCATATTTTTAAAACATCATGAGAATGACTTGTCCAGATTCTTAAGCAGCTTTCACATATCATTTTCTTTAATATTTAACATTTTAAAAATACTTTAAAAGTGAAGTTTTAAACTATTTTTGTTTTGTTTGAAGTGCCTAATTATTTTTCTAAGCATTTTTTAACAAAATTTTTATTTGTAGAAAAAGAAGCACATGTTCATTTGTTTTCCCACAAAGCTTTCTCTCAGCAAGGACATGAAATTCCTACTTGGACTATAACTAACTTTTGATAGGTTCATTCAGTATCTTGCAGATTTTTAACTCTGGCCCACCAATTTATCCAAATCAGTCTGTTGGATCATAGTGGTTCAGGACACCCTTTAGGGAACAAAAGGTGAAAAAGACTTTATTTTAGACTTCTATATTATTATCTTTTCTTCAGCTTTACTTTTTTTTTTTTTTTTTTTTTTTAGACAGTGTCTTGCTCTGTTGCCCAGGTTGGAGTGCAGTGGCATGGTCTTGGCTTATTGCAACCTTTGCCTCCTGGGATCAAGTCAGTTCTCCTGACTTAGCCTCCCGAGTAGCCATGATTACAGGCGCATATCACCACACCTGGCTGATTTTTAAATTTTTAGTAGAGATGGGGTTTCACCATGTTGGCCAGACTGGTCTCGATCTCCTGACCTCAGGTAATCTACCTATCTCGGCCTCCCAAAGTGCTGGTACTATAGGTGTGAGCCACCTCACCTGGCCATCTTCAGCTTTACTTTCTTCTTCTGAGAATTTATAAAACAGTAGTTTTTTGTAAACTGGTTTCTTCTACCTGTTAGTTTTCCTTTTAACTTACAGAGATATTTTGAAACATAGTTGTGCGACTATAAAAAATAACTGTTACTCAAACTTTTGATTATTTTAGAAAAATTCTGAGCAACATATACATTTGTGTTGTATTTTTAAAGAAATGAAAACATATTGGCCATTTTGTCCCTGATTTTTGGTTAACTGGAACCATGGGTTGAGAATATATTCGGAAATTAAGATTCTACCATGAAATGATGTGCGATTCTTTAGTGTCAAAAATTAGTCAGACTGTGCTATTGGTGATAATGTATGAAAGTATTTCAAACCCTATATAATTTTATATTGGCATTGGTATCGCTTGCTTAAAATTGTTCTGTTCTTAATTTTTAGGTATGGAATTGTTTGAAGAGGCATTGCGTCGATGGGAACAAGCTCTAACCTTTCGCAATAGACAGGCTGAAGATGATGCCTGTGGTTCCATTAAGATGGGTGCAGGAGATGCCATTGCTGAAGAAAATGTAGATGTAAGGGTGATTTATCTGAGTGGTCTTCATAATATTAGAAGAATTAAACTTTTTTTTTTTTTATAGAGATGGAGTCTTACTATGTTGCCCAAGCTGAGTCTTGAACTCTTGGGCTCAAGCGATCCTCCTACCTTATCCTCTTGAGTAGTTAGGACTATGGGTATGCACCACCATGCCTGGCTAATTTTTAAATTTTTTGTAAAGATGACATCTCACTGTATTGCCCAGGCTGGTCTTGAACTCCAGGCCTCAGGTGATCCTTCCACTTTGACCTCCCAGAGTGCTGGGATTATAGGCATGAGCCAAGGTGTACCTGGCCCAGGGTATTTTTTAATGTTGATTCAGTGTATTTGCTTTGTATGGCATTTGATAGAACTATTTTTGTCTTCTTCCTTGGGACTGTATGGGGTATTTCTTATTGGTCTTTTTCTATTCAGTTAGTTGGTAAATGCCAGATTTACCATTCATCAAGTTTATTAATTTTTCCAGGATATGCAAAATAAGCAGATTGGTTTCTAAAGGATTTTTTTTAAAGAAATGGGGTCTTGCTATGTTGCCGAGACTGTAGTACAGTGGTTCATAGGAACAAATCATAGTGCACTGTACCCCAGAACTCCTGCCTCAGCTCAAGCAATTCGGACTGCAGGCACATTCTACCTTGTCTGGCTTGGAGTTTTTTAAAGTTTGATTTGTGCTTTGGGATTAATTGTTATTATGTTCATAAAAATCACAGAGATATAGAGCTGGACCCTTATTGATCATTTAGTTAAGCTAGTGATTCTCAAACTTAAGAATGCATAAGAATGACCTAGAGGACTTGTTAAAACACGGATTTGGAAGCCCCACCCCACGGATTTTTCATTGACTAGGACTGGGGTGGATCCTAAGAATTTGCATTTCTACCAAGTTCTTGGGTGATAATGAAGCTGCTAGCTCAGGGACCTTATTTGAGAACTGCCGATCTAGTCTAACTCCTTAATTTTATAGGTAAAGAAACTGAATCACTAAGAACTAAGGTAATTTTGCCAAAGACACAGCTAGAACTCAGGCCTCTTGACTGCTGCTGCTGTACTCTTTCCACCATCTATGAGTAGTTTTTCACATTATTCATTTTCTTTGCCTTTTATTTAAAAGTGGAAAAACATTTAGAATCTTAACATTAGAATTTAATTTGTTATATGTGCTTTTTCTCGCCTCATAGGATATTATTAGTACTGAATTTATCCATAAACTTGAAGCTCTGCTGCAGAGGGCCTATCGTCTCCAAGAGGAGTTTGAAGCTACCCTTGGGGCATCTGATCCTAATTCCCTTGCTGATGATATTGGTAAGATGGATATTTTATATGTTTTTTATGAAATGTTTGCTTTCCTTTTATATTCTTGAAATTATTTGCGTGTCTGTCTTATGTATTAATAGGTTACTTAAAAAAATAGCCAAGAGAAAAAAATTCTATCATATTTCTTTTTTTATTTCAATTTTAATTTTTAAATGAACTAATGCCCTTAGGATATAAATTCAAGTACTTATCATAGGCAGGACGGTGACATTATTTTAAAATATATTGTGGGTGAAAAAAAATCTAGAGTGTTGGAGGGAGAAAAGAATAAACAAAAATATACAAATGGGACAGAGACTCACCACTTCAGAAATGTGCATGTAATATTACTTAAAATATTTAAAAGAATTAAAGGTCTTGGGCCCCACTTTAATCACAGGCTATCTGTTGATGTAAGTAGTCAATACATACATCATTATGGGCCATTACCTTTGTTTCCTGCTTTAAAGAAAAAAGAGTTTTAAAAAGTTGTTTATTTTTTATTTTTTTGAGACAGGTTGTGTGTATCCCAGGTGGGAGTGCACTGACACGATCGCAGTGCACTGCAGCCTTGGCCCCTTGAGCTCAAGTGATTGACCTACCTCTGCCTCCCAAGTAGCTGGGACTATAGACACGTGCCACCATGCCTGGCTAATTAAAATTTTTTTTGTGGAGACAAGGTGAGCTTCTTTTTTTTTTTTTTTCTTTTTTTCTTTTCAAGACAGAGTTTCACTCACTCTGTCACCCAGTCCTGGGTGCAGTGGTGTGATCTCGACTCACCGCAACCTCTGCCTCCTGAGTTCATGCAATTCTCCTGCCTCAGCCTCCCGAGTAGTTGGGATTACAGGCATGTGCCACCGTACCCAGCTAATTTTTGTATTTTTAGTAGAGGCAAGGTTTCACCATGTTGGCCAGGCTGGTCTCAACCTCCTGGCCTCAAGTGCTCCCAAAGTGCTGGAATTACAGGCATGAGCCACTGTGCCTGGCCAAGGTAAAGTTCTTGAATGAAGTCTTGGAAGAAAGGAATGATTAAAGTTGCTTATTCAGCTTCTGTAAATGCCCCCAAAGAAAGAAGAAGACCAAATTATATGTTTGGGTTTTTTTTTTTTTTTCTTTTTTGTTTTTGTCAAAAATAATTTAAGTCTTTCTAGTATGAAGAGAATCGTTGTTTTCCAATTTTAAAAAAAAAGCTAAGGAGTTTTAACTTTTTCCACATTAGTACTGAATGCAGCTGCATTTTGAGATATTTATATCTCTATGCATTTTGAATTTAGGTAACAGATTTTGTTTGTATTAGAATTATGAATTGCTGTGTATATGTCATAAGGTTATATGAACTCTCTGGTCTCTGCTTTGTCATCCTATTCTTGTCACCAAACATTATTAGATGAGTGTGTTTTTGTAGCTTCTCTGCTCTTAGCATAGGCATAATGTTTTGACATACCTAGGAGATTAGTCTAGAAAAAAAGTAGGCAGTATTCATATCAACAAATATAATTTGTCAAAGCCTTACTAATTTTTTCTACAGTTTCCTGTGTAACTTTAGTTAGAATGTCATTTATGATAGTAAGTAGGAGAAAGAACACAGAAAAGGAACTTTTTTAAAACCTCAAATGTAGAATGAGAATGGAACAACCAGAAAAGTTAGAAAAGTGGTTAAGTGGCAAGGAACACCACAGAGAAAAGTAAGTAGGAAAAAATTATAAACATAAATCGGAAAGAAGAAGAGGATCCTGAGACTTTTAATGTCTTACTCTAGGAATGGAGGCTTTGTCTGTGCTGTCTAATCTTCAGCAGTTTCTTTTAGCCTCATGATAAGGATCTTGTGGATGCGTAGTTTTTGTTCTTTTAGTCTTGTAATATGTATCACAGATTTGGTTCTGTTTGGCATGCCTTGGCACATTTTTTCTATATCCTTCTGTAGAGGTTCTCTGGGTCTGTCTCATTCCTTCAGGTTAAAAAGATTCCTTGGGTACTGTCTCAGAGGTCTGCTTTAGATTCTTGTTGCTTTTGGACAAGAAGACCTCTGGGCATGTGGCTTAGTTTCTGGAGTCTTCAAGCTGTTTCTGAGGCAACTATTGTTAATCTTGAACTCTAAATGGTTAGGGTGGGACCCATAAATCAGTCCATGCATTTAGTTAACTTAGGTTGGGAATTAGTTCCTGACCCCACTCATGTTTTAACCTGTGCTGTCACTGCCTACCAGGCTGATGTGCTTTTCCCTGTAGCCTGCCAGTTCGTTGGCCCCCTGTTGCCCTGGAGATTCCAGTTGACATGAAGCTGTTATATTTTGTTTGTTGTAGGGAATTGTTTTGATATTGCAAGTTTGCATTTTTGAACTTCTGGATCGAAAGAGCTGAATGTATGGCCAAGATTCAGGGAGCAGCTCTGTTATAACTGTTACTTAACGTTGACAAAAATTGCCTAGAAGTCAGTTAACTCTCATTTTTTAAATCTAAAACAATTGTATTCATTTAACTTATATTATTGAAAGGCAACTTAAAGTTAACAGTCATAAATCAAGATAGTCTAACAGATGCCTTCAGAGGCCCAGGGGCGAATTTAAACCAACTATTGATCTGATGTTAGTGAATTCTTCGTTGTTTTGAATCTGCTTTGTCTAATTTGATGACCTTCATTTTTTTTTTTTTTTTTGGCAACAGTCATGCTGTGTCCCCCAGGCCAGAGTGCAGTAGTGTGACTCAGCTCACTGCAACCTCTGCTTCCTGGGCTCAAGCCATCCTCTCACGTCAGCCTCCCAAGTAGCTAGGACTATAGGTGGGTGCCACCACACCCTGCTAATTTTTTTTTTTTTTTTTGAGACGGAGTTTCGCTCTTGTTACCCAGGCTGGAGTGCAATGGCATGATCTCGGCTCACCGCAACCTCTGTCTCCCGGGTTCAGGCAATTCTCCTGCCCCAGCCTCCTGAGTCGCTGGGATTACAGGCACGTGCCACCATGCCCAGCTAATTTTTTGTATTTTTAGTAGAGACGGGGTTTCACCATGTTGACCAGGATGGTCTCGATCTCTTGACCTCGTGATCCACCCGCCTCGGCCTCCCAAAGTGCTGGGATTACAGGCTTGAGCCACCGCGCCCGGCACCACCCTGCTAATTTTTAAAAAAGTTTTCTGGCTGGGCATGGTGGCTCACGCCTGTAATCCCAGCACTTTAGGAGGCTGAGGTGGGTGGATCATAAGGTCAAGAGATCAAGACCATCCTGGCCAACATGGTGAAACCCTATCTCTACTAAAAAAAAAAATATATATATATATGTGTATATATATATATATATACACACACACACACACATACATACATACCTACATACATACACAAAAATTATATATACAAAAATTAGCTGGGTGTGGTGGCATGCATCTGTAGTCCCAGCTACTCGGAAGGCTGAGGCAGGAAAATCTCTTGGACCCAGGAGGCAGAGGTTGCAGTGAGCCAAGACCATGCCATTGCACTCCAGCCTGGGCGACAAGAGTGAAACTCCATCTCAAAAAAACAAAAATCAACAACAAAAAAGAAAAGTACCTTAATCCCCACAACAACTTTTAGCGCATATATATATATATATATATATATATATATATATAAAACTATCATCCCTATTTTTCAGATGGGGAAAGTGAGGTACAGAGGTGTTAATAACTTCCCCAGGGTTACACAGCTATTAAGTGGAGGAACCCGGATTTGGACCCAGTCAAGCTAGCTTTATAGTCCTTCCTTTCCCCTTTCCCCTTTCCCCTTCTCCTTTCCCCTTCTCCTTTCCCCTTTCTCCTTTCCCCTTTCCACTTTCCTTTCCCCTCCCCTCTTCCTTTCCTTTCCCCTCTTCCTTCCTTCCTTTCTTTCCTTTTTATTGTTTTTGAGATGAAGTTTCACTATTGTTGCCCAGGCTGGAGTGCAGTGGTGCCATCTCAGCTCACTGCAGTCTCCGCCTCCCAGGTTCAAGTGATTCTCCTGCCGCAGCCTCCCAAGTAGCTGTGATTACGGGTGCCTATCACCACACCTGGCTAATTTTTGTATTTTTAGTAGGGACAGAGTTTCACCACATTGGCCAGGCTGGTCTCCAACTCCTGACCTCAGGTGATCTGCCCGTCCCGGCCTCCCAAAGTGTAGGGATTACAGGCACGAATCACTGCGCCTGGCCCGTTTATTTTTTTTTTTTCTGAGAGACGGTCTGGCTGTGTTGCCTAGGCTGGGGTGCAGTAGTGCAATCTTGATTCACTGCAACCTCCACCTCCTGGGCTCAAGCTGTCCTCTCACCTTAGCTTCCTGAGTAGCTGGGACCACAGGCACGTGCCACCATGCCTGGCTAATTTTTATTTTGGGTAGAGATGAGATTTCGCCATGTTGCCCGGGCTGGTCTCAAACTCCAGGGCTGAAAGGATCCACCTGTCTTGGCCTCCCATAGTGCTAGGATTGCAGGTATGAGCCACTGTGCCCAGTCGCAAAGTCCATTCTCTTAAACACCATGCTGTATTGTCTTACCACTTAAAAGACAGACGTCTTCTTTGAACGGGAGGGTTAATTAACTGTGAACTTTTTGTGGACAGAGTATGTTTATTCCCAAAATTCCCTGTAGGAAATGTCGGCTTAGAGCAGGCAGCCTGGAAATTCCACAGCTGCCAGAGTAAGACTTTTATTTCTGGTAGTGGTATACTTTTGTGTAGATCTTTTTTTCTTTTTAAATTTTTATTCCTCTATACCCATGTGGGGATCTACAGTTAACTTATGCGTGTTTCTTCCTCTCTCAGTTTTTCTAAGCAGATTTCACACATTTTGTAGGAAGAAATTGTCAAGGTTTAATCTAAGAACAAAAGAGGCAAGGTGTGTGAGGTAGAGGACCTAACTTAGTATAGCGCTAACGAGTTACTCTGATGGTCTACCCCACATCTGTATAAGAACTAAAAGTATGGACTCCGGATTCAGACTAACTGGGTTCAACTTCTGGCATTTCCATTTATCTGTGTGATTATAAAACCTGTCTAAGCCTTGGCTT